AGGTCAAGAAAACTGAGATGGGCACAGTAGGCCTTGGCCCTCTATGGGCTGTCGTGCCACTGAGTTTAGTTTAGAAAATTAAAAACACATTTAATTAACAATTTATTTAAATCTAACACTTTAAAAAAAATTAAAATTCATATTCAGCGCATTCACTTAAACCATTGACGTAATGAAGTGACCAATTCAAAAATAGTAAAATAAAAAAAATAGTAATATTGCGGACTTTTTAACTAATTTTTGAGGTACCCCAGAAAGTGTTTGCCCTAGGCCCGTGCCAATTGGGCCTAGGCGATGATCAGGCCCTGAGGGGATGGCTCCCCTGCTTTGGTAGCCCGACGACCTGCGTGCAAAGTCGAGCACTTTACTGTAGAACAGTTTAACGAGTATCGACACCGCGCACCCTCGATCACAGTGGTCACTTACCTGCTCACTGACCACAACCATTGATGTTTGATTTCGGCTTGGCATAAAAACCATTTTTTTTGGTTTAATTTTCGTGTCAGTTTTGTAACTTTTTACTTCAGAATTACGATTCCGCAGATGAAAATACCTCGTGCATCATTCAATGTTAAGTCTACGGGAAAATGTTTGTATCGTTTTGTTTTTGGCATATTTGGCACAAATCGGTAAATTTAAATATGGAGTTAGATCTCAGGAACTGTAATACATACAAAATATACAAGAGCAATAATTTATAATATCATTTTATAATGTTATGTTTTTTATTTTTCAATAAGTGGAGTTGCATGAAATAAAACATAAGGAAAATATGCTCCTAAAAATAATTTCTAATGGAAAAATAATAATAATAATAAGATTTTTTTCTATTCAATTGTATTAAATCTTTTATAATAAAAACACGGAGCACTGTTTAAATAGCTGCTATCATTGTTAGGAACAGCGTGATATATCGAGACAATACTTGAGAATGGTTATTAATACTTTATAATCTATAACGAAGGAGTTATATTTTCTCTACATTTTTCAACTAGGAAATAATGATAGGAAAATATCTGCATATATTTATGAAGATTCTTTTCAAAAGATGGTTTTTAGCAAAACTACTTTAATCTTTATTTCGTAAATCATGCATTTTAATTTTTTTTAAATCTAGTAAAATAATTTATTTTGAAATAAAAATGAGTATTTATGATGGTTTTTAAATTCTGATTTTTCTCGTCGAAGTACGCTTTTTTTCATAGTATAATGTTTTTTTTCCTATTAAAGCTAAAAAATTTTAACTTTCCATATATTTTTTCTGTGTATTTTCACTTTTAGTTTTCTTAACTAAACGGTTCTTTAAAATGTAAATTTACAAATTTATCAAAATTTCAAGTTGGTATCGCGAAAGTATATTAAATTACACTGATGAAACACGAGGACTATATCTTACAGAATGTTTAAAACTACGTGTAGATTTTGATTTTGAAAACTACACATCTGCGTGTTGATTTATATTTTAAAAATAATTTAAATCTTTTAGCGTTTTCAATTCAGAGTATACAAATAAAATCGTAAAAAAAGTTCGTTTTTGAAGCAAGTATTACCTAAAAATACTTGCGGTACATTATTTGAAGGATCGAAATAAAACCATTAATTATATTAGTTTCATACCTTTATTTAACCTTTAATTATATTATAAACCTTTAATTATATCAAAAACCTTTAATTATATCAAAAATCTTTAATTATATTATAAACCTTTAATTATATTAGTTATTAAATAATTAAGTTATTAGGACTATATCTTACAGAATGTTTAAAACTGCGTGTAGATTTTGATTTTGAAAGCTACACATCTGCGTGTTGATTTATATTTTAAAAATAATTTAAATCTTTTAGCGTTTTTAATTCAGAGTATACAAATAAAATCGTAAAAAAAGTTCGTTTTTGAAGCAAGTATTACCTAATAATACTTGCGGTACATTACTTGAAGGATCGAAATAAAACCATTAATTATATTAGTTTTATACGTTTATTTAACCTTTAATTATATTATAAACCTTTAATTATATCAAAAACCTTTAATTATATTATAAACCTTTAATTATATTAGTTATTAAATAAAATCTTTAATTAAAAATTGTATAATAAAACCTTCTTAGAAACAACATTGCGGTCATTTTGGCAGTAATACAAAATCAACAAAAAAATAATAATTTTCATTTAATTAGGCTACGGAGTTAAACTTTGATAGTCGTAAACTCACAATTGGGTCGGCTCTGTTATAAAACAAAATCTTGCTTAATAATCTTACTTTAGTTTAAAATATTAATTATTTATTTTTATATAAAAGTGAAAAATCTGTCCGCTTGTCAGAATGGTCCGGAAAAACCAGAAAGAAAACACCACTTTTTATAATGCTTTTTTCTGCAGTTTGAAATTATTAATTGGTTGGTTTATTAGCAATTGGCCGAGTAGTTCGCTGGTAATATTGAAAATACGAAAATCTATTGCTCTAATAATCCATTTCTACACTCCATTCGCACTTCGTTTTTTCTCGCTTGTTTGCTTTCGTATTCCTGTTTAGGCAGAGGGGTGCGATTGTTCTTGTTTTCACCTGTAGCGCCATCTATAGCCAAGAACTTGACTTCTGCCACACCATACGTCACACTCGTTTATGATGCGGACCCATTCATACAGTGATTCATTCATCCACAGATCGTAATTTTGACCTGAATCAGAGAACGATCAATCTCCAATACAGTACCCCCAGAGGTTTTGATTTGTTATGGGAGCATGGAGGACTTTGCGACTCGATCATTTGCTACACGGGTCATCAGTCACCATTTACTACACGGAGAGTTTTCGGCGGCGAGGTTCGAACCGATGAACTCTCGTTTTTTTCTTACTGATAGCTAATAATTTTGGACCATTTTATGATATATTTCATTCCTCTGCGTTAAATTATTCACATGCAATATTGAAAAAAAAATTTATCTCTCATTATTTCGAGGTGTGTTGCCATCAAAACAGTTTCGTAACAAATTGTTCTTTTTTTAAATTTAACAGATAAAAGAGGCAGACAAAATTATGGGGGAAATCCAATACTAACTTAAAGCTTACTAAGCTTATAGTTTATGTACTGAAGTAAATATGTGAGATATAGAAACAAATAAGCAGACAAACATAAGTTATAAAAGCACTCTTTTTAAAGTTTACAATGTTGGCATATGTTTTGCTTTAAACATATTATGATTTCTGGATAAAAAAAAATACTCCTCGATAGTTACATCCATCCCCAAAATACCAAAAACCTGAATATGCAAACATGTATAAGCTAAAAATTAAAACCAAGCTCACTTTTACAGCAAGAGTTTATACGTATATTTCTTCATTCTTGAATACATGCTTTTAAATCTCGAAATAGTTGAAATTGAATTGATTTTGAGGCTATTTATCACCGCTATCATGCCAATTGTTTATCAGCAATAAAACATCTAGAGAAAAGAAGATCTATCTAAGCTCTTCCTTTTTTTTTATAGAAAGGTTTAGTTATAAAACAATTAACTTATAATTGTGAAAAGAATGAAATGAATGCCTATGCTCGGATTGAATATTTTTGTGAGAAAAAATAAGTTGGAATTCGTTAGTTTGCTGAATAAATATCTATAAGCATCAATATCTACTTTTTAAATTGATATCACTAACTAAAAGTAAGACCTAAGGTATTTTTTTCTTTTCCCCCCCGCAGTTTTGAGTTCTCGAGCATGCGCGGTCTATCCATATAAGAAAAGAAAGGTATATTTTTACGTGACGTGCTGTCAAGTTGCAATTATAGTATTGGCAGAATTTATAAGGGATTTTTGGCTTGCAATCGAAACAATCTTACATTATCCCCTATACCCTATCCAGGGGTTTCTCTCCTGCTATTACGAGGGGGATCGCAACCACACGGGTATGGATGAATTTTGCGCACCATCTTAATTTCTATTCCCCATGGAAAATGCTTCTTTAATACTATGATGGTTGACCGCCAAGAGAAGTTAGATTCTCATGAACCAACAATCCATGATGATTCGTGAGAGTCCATGATGGTTCCAACTATACATTTCCATGGTGATTTAATGAGAATTCTTTCTGGTTCTCTGGAATTTGAACCATCATAAATCAGTTCAAAGTCCTACATTAGAATGACGGTTGTTCATGATCATTCAAGCATTTCATTACTACTATACTATGAAAATTCGTGATGATCCATAATGGTACAATAATGTATTTCCATGATGGCTTAATAGAAATTCTTGTTGATTTAGCAGGAATATACCATCAAAACCATTTGATTTTTTTTATGTTGGCTCATCGTAAATCAGACCGAATTCGTACATTGGGGTGATGGTTACCATTAAGATTATGTTGGTAAATCAATAGAAAACCATCTAAAAGTTTGACTTTGCTATATATATACTACAATATGTATTGTCGCTTCATCAACAATTTAAACTGCTGTTTTATCACAGTAAAATATTATAAAAACTAATAAGAAAAATTATTTAATTTTATAACTGGAGTGTGGCCAATTTTTTTCTTCTTGATCTTGCCACTTAAGTAAAGCCAACTAATTTTTTTCACAAATTAATAAAAACGAATGAAACACAAAAAATATATTCATATTTCATAACTTTATAATTTTCTTTTCCTTCCATCAGGATAAAAACCACAATAAAAAAAATATTTAGCAATGCATGTACAAGGAACAATATTGTTTCCATAAAAAAAAGCTTGAAAATGAATGCGTGTGTTGTATTGTAATGAATTGCAAAAAATGAAGTAAATTAAAAAAAAAATCCTTATCTGTAATAAAACTTTTAATATAAAAATAAACTATAATACATTTTGTTTCAGTTGTAATCAAAAAGATATCTCAATAGTACAATTGTTCTTTTTTTGAGATTTTTCTTTGAAATCCAAAGTTCGAAACAAAGAATAGGGAAATAGAGATCCGCATCCAACGAATTTTCAATTGTTTTTAACAAAACTTACCTATTCAACCCACAAAATGTATTCTGAGCACGTTTTATTGTTTAAACAGCTAATTTTTACATATTTAAAGCTACTTCAATTGAGTTGAGTACTAAAAACTGAGTATTGATATTAAAATAAGGCAGTAAATAATCATTGTTGTTAAGATGAAAACTACTTTAATATTAACTGTTGTTGTTTTGACTATTGTAAGTGGTTTTAACATATCTTCAGGTTCAGAAGACCCGGCTAAGGCAGAACACTTTCATTCCTGTCATAGATGGATTAAATGCAGTGCAGAGGGTGAGAATATTTTTATGTTTAAATCTGAAACGCAATTATTATTGCACCTTTAATTATAACTATATCTAATTAACAACTGTAATTATTGCAGCTTTTCAGTATAAGGCATTTTCAGAAAAAATGCTATTTTACTAAGTAACTATTCATTAAGAATTATGTAAGGGAGAGTCGGGTATCCCCCCCCCCACTTAAGGAGTATTGCTTATATTTCTGCATAATATTGAGTAATAATCAATATTTTTGCTTGTTTCTATTGTTTTATCTTCTAATTAAATAATGCAAAAAGAATAAAGAAAAAGAAGAATAGTTAAACTTAAAAAAATAGAAATTTAAAAAATTTGTCTACTGTATTCAACATATTTTCAAAACTATTGTTTACCATGTTACCAGCTGCATAAATACTTGAAACTTTGAAAATAATCTTTTTTTAATATAACAATTAATGTCCGATGGCCCATTGACTTGAAAAAATATTCTATACATATGATATTGACTGTGGGCGGGGGTACCCGACACTCCCCTACATATATGGATTTAATGAAATTTCCTTCCTTTATAACTTTCAGCTAGTTTAATGTTTCTCAATTTTTTCTGAAATTTCCTAACTTAATTATCAAAATGCAGTAGGATTATAATCGGTTACACATTTCTGTTCTTCTCTTGTCATGTCTTCTCAAGTTTGTGGACACAAATTGGATGTAAACACTAAAGTGCTCCCTTATTGGTTCGCCAACTGCTTTCATCATCTTTGTCTTCCTAGGAAACATTGATTGTTTTAGTAAGACACAGATTAGGCTCAGGTGATAAAGCGTTCGCCTTTCAATGAGGTGAATTAGGTTCAAATCCCAGCCATGGCTGGTCGATATGAATTCCGTTCCCGTCTCGCACCGACCATAGAACCGTCGTAAAATATCCTCAGTGGTAAACACATAATGGGCTAGAGTTCAGTTGCCGTTTGGCTAACCGTGGGAGATTTTCGTTGTTCTTCCTCTCCAGGTTCAACAAAAGGGTTAGTTCCATCAAAAAGTTCGCCATGAAGACAAATTTCTCTCATTACTTGATCCAGGAGTTCCCCTGTTTTCTGGATTGGGTTCATAATTACAAGGCTAAGGAGTTTAACATTAGTAGTCGTGAATCCAAAATGGGGCCGGTAGTTCAACGACAGTTATAAAACTACTAACAAAATAATAAAACTACTTAATTGTATAAACTTCTAAGAAAATATATATTTTTTATGTTTAACTCTTATGTTTGCTTAATTTGATCAGTTTAAAAATTATTAGATAATTAGTATTTCTCTTTTTAACAATAGCTTGTAATATTATGCTTAAAAAATATGCTTTGTTTGATTATACATATCAACACGTATGGGAATGCTGTTTTGAAAAGTAACAAGTAAAAATTTAAACAAGTTAACTAGTAAGCTACAAGTAATCTAGTACGAAAAAAAAACGATTTTTAAATGAATTTAAGGAGAAAACTTCACAATAATATAAACTTTAATTAAAAAACATTTTAAGCAACATTATTTAGTGATTAATGAAAAAAAATATCCATTATTAAATTTGCAAAAACATTTCGCATTTCATCTGAAGTGTCATTTAGTTTGTTTTAGGAACATGTTGTGCAATGTTCAGTTAATGTTAAATTAAAGCAACATAAGACAATATCATATTTGATATAAAACTATCTTTTTACAGAAATACAAACAATTTTATGTTTTCCGTGTCATTATTAGTGCTTATACTTGCTTTAAATACCTCATTATCTTATGAATGGGATGCTTTGAACTTTAAGTAGTTCATGGCTTTCATTTGTTTCCGGCATATTATTGTCAGGTATATCTTGATGCACTTTCGTTCCCGCATTTAAATGCCGTTTTTAAAAATAAAGTACTTTTGACTTTTTGAATGAGAAAGAAAACTAAGTATAACTCGTTTATTTTCAGTTCAGATTTCCTATATACATAAAACTTTTAGCAACAGTTATCACAAACTCTTGAGAGACAACCGGTACTTTCAAGAAAAATTGCTAGGGATATATATATATATATATATATATGAAGACAAGTTTTAGAGCGCTCAAAACATGTTGACTTTTACTATCTAAAATGAAATTTTTTCTTATCAAGTATCTTTCCACTTCACTTTCTGTTATAGTTCAAAATGAAGAATAAAACAAAGAGAAATTAGACATATGAAAAAAGGGGGAAATAATAAGTAATAAGTAAAAAAAAAGATAACAAACAACAGTTTAAAAAAAAAAAAATGCGAAAAATTTTTATTTAAAAAACCTGAAAAAAAGGTATTATCTTTTCATCAGCCTACACGACTATATCCGTAAAACAGAGTGCTTTCTGATATTGTATCAATCGTGTGGGCTGATGAAAAGATTATATCTTTTTTTCCGGTTTTTTAAATAAAATTTTATCCCCTTTTTTTTATTTTTTTTTTTACTTATTACTTATTATTTCTCACTTTTTTCATATGTCTTCAATTTCTCTTTGTTTTATTCTTCATTTTGAACTTATCTAATCTGTTCTGTTTACTTGCTGCTTAAGCGCAATAAATGAAAATTATTGTTTTTCTTAACTTTCTTCGTGTTTTCTTGTATTTATATATATATAAATACAAATATATATATTTTCTATATATATATTTTCTTGTATTTATATTTATATATATATATGTACTTAATGAAGTTGATTAAGGTAAAGTTAGAGGAGGGATATGGCAGACTATAGTTTGTCTAAGCTAAGAACTCCTCCGGCCACAAAGGCCCGTAGGAGGAGTCTAGTGCTAGGGAGGAGTCTGGTGCTCTGAGGCCGTTTGGTGCTATGGAAACAAGAATGGCGCATTTTAGAGAGGGTAGCTTCACTCTAGGACTAACACAATAGACTGAAGAAAGAGATTCCCTTTCTCACACCGACCCGAGCCGAAACTACTCCAAAACAGTGACCCCGCACCCCAACTTGAAATAGTCATACCTCGTTACCATAGTCACCGCCACGGGTTCAGACAAATGTCTGGATGAGTTCCTATTTTTAAAGTTAAACCGGAGAACTTGATTGTTCAGAAATTAGTTACATTTTCTTGTGGCAAACTCTGAATTGCATTTCACTAGACAAGAAAAAGAGCTACTATATTGGCGTGACGTTATTCATACATTCGATGCAGATATTTATAGCTTTTTATTACACTACGAAAAATAATTTTTAGTTCAGATTAATATACATTTACTAAAAATTCATACCCGATTAAACTATCAGGATTTAGTCCACTAGTTATTCTGTTTCGCTTCGATAACTTCTGGCGTCAGCGTAAGACCGGACACTACCTTAGTCTTGCCCCCCCCCCTGGTGTGTGTCTTCGTTTGACAGATTCAGGTCAGTGGAAGAAAATAACTACAGAACATTAAATTAAATCCATAATGTTTTTAAATTGTCGTAAAAAATAAAAATGTATGCTACATTTTCACTGAAATTCTAATATACGTAAATTTCTGAAAGATTTATCTCTAAAAGTTAACTCTCATGCACCTTATCTCTACCTCACTAGAAGAGTAAGAAAGGGCGATTCTGTTTTTTTTTGGAAGAAAAAGTCATTGATAAAAAAGTAATACATATATGACTTTCACAGATGATATATTGTACACAATTAAATATATATAATGTGACATTTTTTAGGTCGAGCTGTTTGACTCCAGCTGGACGTCGGATTTCATTTACCTAGTTTTACTATACTTTCTCCATCTTACATTATGTTTGCATGTGTATAAAAAGATCTTCGCGAAGGCAAATTGGGGCGCATCCACTAATTTCGTGGATGCGCACGTGTATGTAAGGGCATCACAAATTAAACTTTTGATGCGGTTAGATTTTTTTATTATATTCATAGGTAATGAAAAATTATTATATTATAGGAGACTAAATATTTTTGTTTGAACCTTTTCGAAAAAGAAAATTTGGGATTAAAAACTAAAGATTTTTTTTAACATTTACATTGATGTTATTTCTACTCTTCCCCCCCCCCCAAAAAAAAAACGAAAGTAATATTACTGAATTTAAAAATTTAACGAACTACAGTTACAGTGTACGGACTTTTTTAAATTTACTCGTGTCCATTTCTACCGAAAATAAAAGTGATATTCTATTAACTCACCAACCATCCACGAAAGAACTTTCTTTCTGATTTTAGTTAAATTCTGACCGTTCTGATTCTACTTCAATTCTGATCGCTCTGATTCTTGTGAAATTTCTTCGGCTATAAATTAGAAAAATAAAAAGAGAATAAATAATTTAGCTAATGCAGTTCTGTAACTGCCAAAAGTTTAGCTAAGTCACCTGAACTTTAGCTAAACTTTTGTTATCCCCTGAATTTATTTCCAATAAGCCTAACGTAAGGAAGAAACTCTTATTTAAGTATAAATTTTAACAACGAATATCCTAATCTTTTGTAAGTATTTTTTTATTCTATTTAATATTGAACATTAGAAAGTGGTTTATTTTTAAAAATGACATTTATTTTTCTTAACTGAAAGCAATTTAATTGCAGATAAAGCCGCACTTGATGAGTTTAATGCCTGCTTAAATCAGATACCAGCAGAGGTAAGATTATTTTTTTAAAAGTTGTTTGAGTATAAAAACAAATTTAGAGAAATTTACAACTTTTTATGTCTTGAATCTTAATATTTTAAGGTTCCCTTGGTAAATTCGAACTTGTTGACGTATTTAAAAAATTGTAACTCATCTCAATGCAAACATTATATTTCACAACCAGAAAATTTAATTCATAGCTCATACTCAAGTAGCACCGTTACCAAATTGCAACAATCTCAGTGATTTGAGACGGGGAGATTTGAGTCATTTGAGACGGGATATACCACAGTATCGTCTCGCGCAAGGATCCAGTTCAGACAAGAATCTGTCAAATGGTGATCCTGTTGAAACTTGAATGGGTCACAGTTTTAACATTGACATCCTGTTGAGACGTGAATGTGTCACAGTTTTCTCACTGACATCCTGTTGAGACGTGAATCGTCACAGTTTTCACACTGACATCCTGTTGAGACGTGAATCTGTCGCAGTTTTCACACTGACATCCTGTTGAGACGTGAATATGTCCTGTTTTCGTCGCAGGATGAAATACCTGCGACAATTAAAGGTCTCATTGTAGTCTCATGTTTAACATCTTGTCATAGATCTTTGGCATTGTTGAAACTATACGAAGAAAGAATAAAATCGAAAGTTTGTTGTACAAACAAACATTGAAATTGTTGGCAAATCAGTTATGAAGAACTTCTGATCTTGATGTAAAAAACAAAAAACAAAAACAGGTTATCTAAGCAGCCCTGCCCTGAATGTTAGAAGCCTGACTTCCGCTTAAGCAAGATTTACTTAAACGTTGCAATGCTTTCCTATTTTTCACCTTTTTCCTTATCTTTTACTTTTATGTCACGATGGGAATTGCAGTAAAGGGGTTTTATAAAATTCATTTTATTTAATTGTATTTTTTACTGAACGCTTTTTTTTTAAATATCACATGTCCAGTTAGCCCAAACAAGGGGAGGCAACCCAGTAGGAACATTTGCTCGGGGGCCCTGCTACGGCAATAATATTTTTTAAAAAGAGACAGATTTTATCGAGATTGTTGTAATAAAATTAACGTAAAACTTATTGACAATTACATTCAAATTTTGTCTTCAAAATAACAATAATCTTAATAATGAAATAAATTTCTTTAAATTAAACAAGGGGTATATTCACATTTAATGGCTCTTTTTCTGAGACTTTGAATACTAGAATACTTTGAATAGAGAAATTGTACGGATATAATTTTTTTCTTCGTAGTTATATAGAGAGGATATCGGAACTACGAAGGAAAAAAAATATTTCAGTACAATAGAGCCATTAAATGTGAATATACCCTTTCTTTAATTTAAATAAATTTATTTCATTATTCTTAAGATTATTGTTATTTGAAGAAAAATTTTGAATGTAATTTTCTTCTGTTTTTAAAATAGGTGACAATAGGCAAAAGTCACATTAAGTAGTCAATGAGACTTTCATGTGTTATCGCATGATAAGATGACATCAAAGTCTCATTATGACCTCTTTGGAGTAATTTAGAAAGGTAACATTTGTGATTATGATTGCTTTTACCGTTTCTAGCTTTAATTTTATGTGACTGTGACAGTCTGTGCAATCACGGTGTTGAAAATAATCATGCGGAAACAAAGTCTTAGATCGGAAAACTCTAGCTTATACAGCGCGCGGGAAAAAGAAGAGAAAGAAAAAAAACTCCACCCTGAATAACTTTCGTTCTAATGATCGGATCTTCACGAATTAGAAATAATTTAAAATGGTTCGAGGAAGAGACCTCAAATATGCTAACCAATTAGTTACGAAATCAGACACAAAAATATCCTTCTTCAAAATAAGCATTCCTGTTATTTCCATGGATCCGGGTTTCTGATCTCAAAAGTATAGGGGATAGCTGCAATCTGGGAAATGTGGCTAAATAGTTCTTTCAAGAGCGCAATCTGAAGTTTTGATCCCTTGTACAGAGAGCAACGTGGAAGCACAAATGAAAATACATAAACTGACATATAATAGTTTCAGTTGTATAAGCAAAAAACTTCCTCAGAGTCTAAACAGAGAGAAAGACTTTACACAATGAGGAAGATCCTTGATTATGGAACTGAAACTATTCCGTTTCAATTTATGCACTTTCGTTTATGTTTTATTCACGTTTTTTTATTCTTATATTGAATTTATTTATTCTTAAACTTTCGCCTTATACTTTTAAATTAATTTATTCTTATACTTTCGCAATATCTCCTTGATTTCTTAAGGGACGCAAAAAATTGTTACAAACAATAATAAAATTCGTTTATTCAAAGATAATTCTGTGCAAAATAAAATTTCTCGTAAATATCTATTATTTTTTTAATTTTCTTTTAATAATGCTCAAATTTTTTTTGAAGTAATGCAACTTTTTAGTAGAAAAAAGTAGTTTTATGCTTCAAAACGGAAAATTTGAACGAAATCATTTGAATAGTTACTGAGAAAAGGAACTTTAAAATTGGACTTCTCAACAACTATTCGACCAATTCCTGTCAAATTTCGGTTTTTGACATAAAAAATTACATTCTTAAAAATGATTTAAAATTTTTTATGAATTCAAATTTGTTTCAACGATTATTATATAAAGTAATAAATATAAATAATCATTAAGAATATTTTTTTGAATGGAAGGAAACGAATTCCATAATTGTGTTCAAATTTTTTTTGATTCGCTTAAAACATTTTCGAGATATGTGGAAATACACAAATATTAAAATTAACATCGAGGGAATTTCCTGACTAAACGATATTCAAGCCATTTCCCAGTTTGTGCATACCCCCCCTATTTCGGGGATCAAGATTCCGTTTTTGTGTCTGATTTCGTAACTTACAATATCGTCTGTTCCAACTAATCAACATTTTTTTAAGCCTTCCCTTCGAACTATTCAGATTGATCTGTTGTACCTGAAGATCTGATAATTAGATCAAAAACTATTCAGGGTGATTCATTTATTTTTGTGCAATATACAGAATAAAAAAAAGGAAAGCAATTGAATTATTTTTGATGAAATGATTAAATTTTGTTTACAATTTATGTTTTGACGAGTTGCAATCTGAAAAATTAGGAAACCATATTTTAGTAAAGACAATGGTCATATTTTGTTATATCTCTAAAGCATTTAAACTAATAAATATTTTTGAGCGTTGTAATATGTCTTTTTTTCTATATAAAGATAAAATTTGTCAAAGAAAATCTGAATTGCAAGGCAGGTAGATTTTTCAAAATTTAGCAAATTTAAGAGACAAATTTTAAAATTAGAGCTAAATAGGTGATTTGTTCAGAAATGTAACTTTAAGAATACATTTTTTTAAAATTTATAACCCAAAACCTACGAGACCAGTTTCGTTGACCCAAACTGTGTAACCAAAATATTTGCTTTCTGATATTTAAAATTACGCAAATACATTTTATTTAATTGTAAAATTAAAAAGTAAAATTAAAATTTGTAAATCTGACTATTAAATTTTTTTCGCTATTTTAAAGGAAAATAATAAAACAATAAAAAATTAATAAAAATTGTTTTTGCGGGGAAAATTTCATTTGGAGAAGGATTCTTATTATTGTGAACAAATATGTTTTGATTCGTTTGAGTTCCCGAGGAGACAAAGAGAATTACGTAAAATCGTCGCTTTGAAACTAAACCGTTGTAACTCAAAAAAAAATCGAAAAATGAGATTTTTGGATCATTTTGCGTGAAAAAAGTCAACTTTTTAGAAAAACAACCTGTTATCTTTATAGTTCCATAAAGTTAATTTAGAGAGCAGATAAATCGTCATCGCATTGCCGCGATTAGCATTAGCGCGGAAAGTTTGAAATCGCTCTGCTGAAAAACTTGCTTTTTTGAGTTACCACGGTTTAGTTTCAAAGCGACGAAATGTGAAATTGACAAGTAGTAGTTATAACATTTATATGCACTTTACAAACCAAACTAATGGGGCCATTTTTTCCAAATCTAAATACAAGATAAAGAAAATAATGTTTATTAATAAAAAATTTCTCTTGCCTAACTTCGTAATTTAATTAACACTATTCGAATACCAATGAAAAAATCTTCATATAATCCATCTCAAAGTTACTATTGGTTTTTAGAATGTTAAAAACTACTAACATGTAAATTAGTAAGGGTGACTATCTTTTTTCTTCCGGTTTACTGTACTATTAACTGATAATTTAGAGTTTAACCATAATTTTTTATAGAAAATGAAGAAGTTTGTAAAGATTTTGGCAGATTTCGCCAAAGAAAAATGGTCAGACTTAGAGGCAGCATATAATAACTACTGTGCCTGGGATGGAGTACGACAGGTATGGTAAAAAAATGTCACATATACAACAATTCATAGATTTTATTATAAACAAAACTCCTACACTGTAAAAAATACCTAATAAAATTACGGCAAAAAGAACTGGTAGTTTTAGAGCATCATCCGTAAAATCCATTTTACTGAAAAATCCATCTTTGCTGTAAAATATTATATTGTAATATGTATTTAATTACAGTGATTTAATGATTTTATTTCATCCGTGGCTAAAATTATGTGCAAAACAGGCAATTCATTGTCGCAAAATATTTTATATCATTTTTGAAAAAATTTCCCGTTCATTTGAACTCACTTCTCGCTTTTTTGATTTCATTTCATGTTTTTTTCTATTTTTCTTTATATTTTATTTTCTGTTTTTACGTAATATTCAACAAATAAAATAGAACCAAATCAACAAATAAAAAATTACAACAAATAAAATAGAACCTATTGTGTTCTATTTTATTTGTTGTAATTTTTTTGTAAAATTTTTTGAGTGCTCCTCACGCTATTGTAATGATATATTTTGCTTTGGTTATATTGATACAATATTAGAAAGCACTCTTTTTTGCGGATATAATCGTGTGAGCCGATGAAGAGATTATATCCTATATTTTCCGGATTTTTTAAAATTTTTGTCCTTTTTTTTTATCTTCCGGTTTCTTGTTATTTTTATTTTATTATTATTTTTCTTTTTTTCCCTTCTTTCATCAAAATAAAGATAAAACAAAGGAAAATTACAGACATATCAAAAAAGGGGGAAAAAGAAAAATAGTAATAAGAATAAAAATTATAAGAAACTGGAAAATAATAATAATAATAATAAAAATCCGAAAAAAAGGATAATTTTTTTTTAAAAAATCCGGAAAATAAAAAATATAATCTTTTCATCAGCCCACACGATTATATCCGCAAAAAAGAGTGCTTTCTAATATTGTATCAATATATAGCCAAAGCAAAATATATCAATACAATAGTGTGAGGAGCACTCAAAAAATTTTTACAAAAATTACAACAAACAAATAAAATAGAACACAATAAGTGAAAAATAACGCGTAATAACAGAAAATAAAATATAAAGAAAAAACAGAATAAAACATAAAATATAATCTATAAAGCGAGCAATGAATTCAAATGAACTTACATGAACCGGAAACTTTTCAAGAATGATTTAAAATATTTTTGTAACAAGATTGCCTGATTGCAAAATATGAAAACAAAAGCGCAAATGGAGCGTAACAAGAGGAGTCTTGTTTAAAAGTGCGTTCTTACTGCATTACTGAAGTGCGTTTGATTTGTTAAATACCAAGGATTGGCCCCCGAAAATGGATGTGCGTGAAGCTTATTGTTTTTCTTAATTTTCTTCGTGTTTTTTTTTGTATTTATTCTGCTTTATATATACTATATATACATACTATATATAATTGAAACGAAAATAGAACATATTAAGTAAAAATTTTACGAAATAAAACATATTAAGCAAAAAATAGAAAATAAAGTATAAAAAAATGCTAAATGAAATATAAAATGTAATCTATTCAGCGAGTAGCGATTTCAGATGCAGTTGCACATTCCATAATCTTTCAAGAATGATTTAAAATATTTTCGTAATAAGTTTGCCAGAAAACGTCCCAGACAAAAATTATCGTTGTAAAATTTTGTGAGAAATAGATATGATGAATCTCCCAAGTTCCGTATTTCTAACATATCAGAAAATGTTTTTATTTTTGTAAAACAATTTCTAACTTCTAAAGAAAATATTTTTACTTTTTGTTAAAAATTTGCTAGTTTTGTAAAACTTCTTAACAAATTTTTTAGTTTTTAGAAAATATTTTATTATTGACGGAAACTTTGTAATATTTCGGAAAATATTTTTATTTTTGTAAAAAATAATATCTATTTTCTAAGAAAAAAATTTCATTTTTGTAAAAATTTTCTAGTTTTTCAAATTTTTTTTTTTATATTTTTGTAATAATTTTCAAGTTTTTCAGAAAATTCGATATATTTTTCTGAATTTTTTTATATTAATTATTAAGGATGTATTTTTTATTGAATAGGTTAATTATGGGTAATATTGAGTAGGTTAATAATAATTTCAGTCATTTATATCAACTATATTTATATTAAAAAATAACTAAAATGAAGAATTATTAATAATATTTTCTTTCTAACATTTTAGGTATAGATGACACCATCAGAATATATATAAAATGATTACATTTATTTTATTAAAACCTTAAGCTTTCCTCTGATCTCTGTACATTCACAGGATACTGGTTATCGAAACTAACCGACTATTTGTCGTCGGACTAAGTGTAGGAGGTTTTCGCGGATTTCCTTTTCATATAACATGAGTACTCACAAAGTCCTCTTCGAAGACATGTATTGCTTCAAGATCTAGGAGTTCCCTTGTCTTCTGCGTTCAAAAATGACAAGACTACATTGATAGCCGTAAATCTGAACGACGGTGATAAAATAAAATTAACAATTGTATATTTAATTGATAAATATCTAATCTTATAAAATAATACACATTTAATTCTAATACTTTTAATATTCACAGTAGACATACTTGATAAATAAAATTTTTATTTTAATATTGAATCAATTAATTTAAAATGCATTAATTAATATTGATTAGGTTAATAATAAATACAGTCATTTATATCAACTATATTTATAAAAGATAACTAAAATGAAGAGTTATTAATATATTCTCTTTCTAACATTTAAGTATAGATGGCGCCATTAGAGTAAAAGCATGTGCATGATATCATTTATTTATTATGTAATAAAAGATGACGTGATTACTTCATAATATATGATTTCTTCCAAATAGCAAAGCTAATAAGTATTGCCATCCTAAACAAGTAGAATAATATTAATAAATGTTGCTACCCTCAAAAAAGTAATAAATGAAAATAATATAAAGAAACGAAACTGTATTAAAAACAGAAACCGAAAATAAAGCTACTGGTGGGCAGAAATAAGCACACGGGCGGAAATAAACACATGGGCAGAAATAAGCTCACGACAGAAATAAGCAACTTCCGGTTTGTTGGTGGACATAAGTTAGCACCTTCTGGTTTCCAGGCGGGCAGAAATAAACACCCCTTGATTTTCCATGATGACGCCACTTCCGCCCCTTAGATCTCGCGGTATTCTACTCACGATTACAAGTAATTGATTACTGTAATCGACTGTGTAATCTTGATTACAGCTGTAATCAAAATTGTAATCACGATTACTGGTATTTGATTACTGTAATTGTTTGTTGTAATCACGATTACAGCTGTAATCAAAATTATGTTGAATTGTAATCATGATTACAAGTAATTGATTACCGTAATCGAAAATGTAATCGATTACATTTTTGGCCAGCTCCGATAGATATATTCTAGAGTGCTCCAAACATGTTAACTTTTCCTATCTAAAATTAAGTTTTTTTCTTATCAAGTATCTTTTCACTTCACTTTCTTCATATATTCATTTAATATTGTGCGATTATTATAAAGCTCACATAACATATTTTAAATGTTTATCTTGAACGTATTGTGAATGCTAATCGTTGAATACATTTTTGAAAATAATATTATTCTTCAACAATTTACCTTAAGTATTTTTCTCTTTTTAAGAATGAATATTTTGTGGAAGTTCAACGGCTCGTTTTAGAGGAGTACTCAGTGAGTATTTATAATATTTAATTTTGTATGTTTAAATACTATTCTGAGAAGGTCTATGTTAAGTGTGGAAAAAATGAAATGTTCATGTCATGACCATTAGATTTCAAGATATTCATCTTAAGCAACAGATTTTGTTAGATATGTAACCAGTGTAGCAAAAGGATCTACATCAATTGAAATATTTATTAAAAAAAGAGATGCAATTTATTTTCTTTCCCTGATTTATGTTGTTGTAAAAACGTTTATGGGTCTTTGAAATGCTGCAAAGGATATAAGCATGAAAATGAGGGAAGAATAAGCGGAATATATGATAGTGAGCACTGAAATACACGGAGTGTAAATCCATCAAATTGAAAATCGTATTTTTGAAGAATATGTAGTGTGTCTACCATTACAAAAATACAATTCCAATTCAATAACATATAAGACATGTTAATTCGATTCTGTGTCCGGGTACCTTTTCATAATTAAAGGTTGACCGTGTTGATAGTTACTCTCCCCACAAGTTCACACAATTTAAGTAACTGGTGTTAGATGATAAAACAAAACAAAAAAATCTAGAGCAAATTTTTGATGCCAGTAGAATCAATTAACCAACTATTTAGGACGGATGAAACAACTGCAGTTTAATTTCAACTAAAAGTGCTCAAGTAAATTTTTACAAAACTCTGATAAGAACAATTTAATATATGGTTGCGAGATCCGGACAATCAACGAAATTAAGAAAAACCTTATTTTTGAAAAGAAAAAAAGTTCTTCGATCAATTACTGAAATATTTAAAAAGATAACATTTGGAGATGTATATACAACCGTAAAATATATAAAGTAAGTATGAACAACTTAATATGATAAGAGTTAAGACAAACAGGATCAGACGACTGAACACATTTGTCGACGTGAATATCTAGATACAACCAAAGAATTGAAATTTTCAAAAATTGAGGATGCAAAAATTGAGGCAGATCACCTAAAAGGCAGCTGGACAGCGTGGAAAAGGATTTGAGAACGTCAGATGTTAACAGGGGGAGAANGGGGGGGGGGGGAACTTGAAGTAAATCATACTACCTAAAGGAAGTAATATATATATATATTAAAAACTGAACAAGAACAAATTAAGCAAGAAAAGAGAAGAAAAGAAAATATAAATTTTTTTTATAGAAAGATAAAGGTTTTCTTCAGGGCGCATTCCTTTACTATGGTAAATGAGATATTTCCGAAAAAGAATAATTATTACGCTTTATAATGCATCGATATAGCTAGGAAACAAAAATGCTTTTGAAAATGAGTTTGAGGTAAAAAAAAAAAAAAAGAAGGCAGAGAACCAACTTACCTACACAAACTAAATGCTAACAAAAATTTGCAGAAAAGAGAACAATAATTATATAGCTTATAGCTTAAATCGTTCAAAATGATTTTAAAAATACATTTGGTAGAAAAAAATATGAAGTAAATTACATTTCAGTGCAAAAATGTATGAAAAAAAAAACACTTTAATAAATGTTTTTTGGAAAACTTAAGCAACAAAGTCTTTAATAGGAAAAAGAAATATTTAATTCAAAATAAAGAAATTAAAATTAATTAAAAATTTAAAACTGAATCGCAAAAGAACAACTTTAAGATGGGTAATTGTTGGAGCGTTTAAATAACAGACGTAACTTAGAAATAAAACTATTTAACCTTTTAATCGGTATTTCATCTCTCATAGGGTGACTGTTTATAAATCAGAGCCTGCATACATGGATAGAAAGCAGTTTATAGAATTTATCCTTCATTCATACATTCTTTCATAGCAGTAAAGTCTACACGTATTACCTGCCTTCGGCTGGCTGTTCATAAATCAGAGTCCATTCCAAAATATTACATTGTTCAATGTATGTTATTTTAAACGTTTTTTAAAAGTTTTCAGAAAAAAAACTGGAATGGAAGAAGATATATATAATAGATATATATATATTTATATACCGCAGTCAAACCCCGCTATAGTGAACCTTCAAGGGACCGAAATTTCGGTTCACTATAACCGGGAGTTCACTATAATCGTTACGCAGGCAATTTAACTAATATTTCCCATTCTCCTCCTTTTTATAACACATTATTCAAATAAATGATTGAAAAATATTATGTAGTTGCTAAAAATGTGTTATTTTTCATTACTGTTCGTCTTGCGTGCAAATAAAATTAGTAATTTTCAGCTGATGAGCAATCCTCAAAATGGAAACAGTTCCTGACTCTCCGATAATTTTTCTTGAATTTCTGTTATTCCGCTTTTTAAATCTGTCTAACCTGCCATTCGAGCACATAAAAGTAGTCTCATAAAATCGCTCAGCAAATTCATCCACATTTGTCCAGATACTGGAAGATTGCGGCTTCTTCGAATGGTGAACAACATCAGTAATGCTTCTTCAACATCCTTTTGATCTGCTTTTCTCAACTTTTTTCTGCCATCTAAATTGTTTTCATGAGCAGAAATTATTAATTGCCTGTTTTTCCATATATATTACAAACTGCAGATTTGGATAATTTATATTCCCTGCAAATATCAACTTGATTGCATACATTTTCAATTGTTCTGATTATGTCCATTTTATCATCAATGGAGAACGTTTTACGTTTACTGGTCGCCATAGTTAAATTTGAGACACTTGTTTGCATACTTTTTTTTAACTGAACAGAGAGCAAAAAGGAGTTAAAATGAGGGCCTTATAAACACATATTAAAGTCCTACCCTTTGACAAAAAATGAATAATTACTCATTCCCTCTGACAGAAAAAGCATATTGATAACACTGACACCTTACAGGTGCATCATCTGCCTGGGGCCCTACCATGAACTAATTGGAATGGAACGAAGATTCCCGCCTGAAACGAGAAGCCTGGGTTGGAAACATTTGCTTGGTTTGTTTAGGAATTGGAAAGTGAAATAAAAGAAGCAAACAAGAAAAAATGCTTATCGCTACATTCCCATCTATAGATGGTTTTAAACATTGGTATGTGTATTTACCAATGTAGTATGTGTATTGAAGTAGAAATTTCAAAATTATTGCAAAAAAACGAAGAAAAAAATCAGTCCAAGACAGAAAAAAGTTCATTACATCCAACTTCCTCACTTTTTTGGTTCACTATAGCCACAAAAAATAACATTATACGTGTATAGGAAGTCACGGGACCGAACATTTCGTTCACTATATCCGGGAGTCCACTACTAACCGTGCTCACTATAGCGAGGTTTGACTATATATACAAACTGTTGGACAAAGTAAACAGGTTAGTTAATTAGTTAAACCGCATAGTGTTAACCTCGTCCGGTAAGTTTTTGGTTTTCCATTAAAATAAATATTTTTTTTAACTTAACTGATGATAAATATGTTTACATATTCAGAAAGTGATATTTTCTGATATTTTTATCTTAATGAATTATTTGTATTTATGATATTTTAACGAAATATATTTTTTCTCTAAAGATAATTGTACATTTTTAGGAGACATGTGCTGATTTTTTCCAAATTGATTCATGCACAAAAATGACCCAGTCGACTGTAAGTATAACTTGGTGTTTTAACTAATTTAATATTTTTGCGCTGTATTTATTTATAGACTTATTATTTATAACCTTATAATTTTACGCAGTAATTTTTAAAATTATTAACAAATCTATTATTTGTTTAAGGAACAGCTATCTGAAAATTGCTAACTAAATTATGATTCTTAACATCTTTAGGAGAAAAAAGCTCTTCCTCTGATCTGTAAACTCAAGAGTTTATGCGTACTATAGAGTACGTACGTAAATATCTGATAAGAGATGTAATTCAAAAGTGCAATATTGAGATTCTATCCAAGTGTTCTAGTGTCGCTAGAGTAAGAAAGGGTGATTTTATATATAACGTTGTACAGGTAACCTGTAAGAATGGTGTTATTACACAAGTGGGATTATGGTCAAACTTCAATTGCAATATGTTAGTCTATTTCATACGAATGTTAGAATTTTTTATGCGAATATTTCCCTATTTTATAAGTTCTTAAGAAAGTTTTTGGTTCTATTCCGTTTATAGAGGAGGTAAAAAAATTATCAAACAGCTATAGTCACTCTATACACATTTTTTAAAACCTTATCTTAATCTGTTTTATATACACAACTATATATTTAATATCCAATCGGAAACACTTGGGTGTTGAGGGTAAAAGATAGTAGAAATTAAACTTACTATTGATAAGTAAGTTTATTTCTAAATGTTCGAAATAAACTTAAAAATAAAGAAATAAACAGTTTAGAAAAACCTCGTCTTTTTTTCTGAGCTTAAGACTTTTTTAAGATTTTCCTTCTGAAACATTTTCCTATTTTTTCCTGATTCCAGAAGCCTTTCGAAACTAAGATTTCTGACTCACAGTTCTTCTTACTCGAATTTTGTTCCTTCAAATTCGTAGTCTGGTAAAACCTATAGCATTCGAACCTTTAGACCATTTTAGGCCAAGTTTAGAAATTTTATAAAATGTGGTTGTATTATTTTCTTTTGAAATATGCTAGAATTACATACATTAAGACGCAAAAAAAAAGTTTCATTTAAAAAAAAACAACTTATATTTGAATTATGAAATGATGACCATACACACCATGGACTAAATCATTGAAAAAATAATTTAGTTTAACATTACTTTCTTATGAAGTTTGTTTTAATTTTATTTTATTTGCAGAACTTGCAACTTTAATCCATCATAAAAATTTATCTTTTATCTCAAATGGATAAATTATGTTTAGACCTAAGAAACTAAAATAAAATAAAATATTTATTGAAATGTAGTGTTTATTCATTCATTTGACTAAAAATAGGTAGCTATTACATCTTAATACTTGGAATCCATATGAAACTTATCTATCTCTTCTGTGTTTTTAAATGCAAATTAAATCAAAAGTATTTATCTTTACCATTTAAACACGGATATTTAATTGGTTTTCTTTATACTAATATAAAGATTTACTACTTGAACTTGCCAAAATAAATGTCCTAAGAACGTGGTACAATAGGGTAAGTCGAGTAATATTATTTCAGAGATACCAACTTGCTCCGGACAGCAAGTATATATTTTAAAGTGGTAGTTTATCAATTGTGATTCCTGGTTTAATAAATTCAATTTAGTAGATTTTAATCCACCACTATTTCTAAATAATTCGTAGGTTTATATAATTCACCACTTTTTAGTACTTATGTCATACTATACCTTTTAAAAAGCAAGCAAAAATAGTCAAATATTTGCCAATATTTACTTGGTAGTTATTTACCGTTTTTTAAATTATTTTGGCATGTCCGGAGCAGTTGGCAACTCTGTTAATTTAAGTTTTATAAAGTGGGTAGGTTCTTCATTCACGTCGCACTAGAGCTGCACAATGCGCTATTGTCGACGGTCTGAGAAACATCCTTGAGGATGATTCGAAGACAAGTCATCGTAATTTTGATCCTCTGCAGCGGGGATGGTTCACCTGCATTGGGAGCCCGAAGACCAGCCTGCTAAGTTGACCACTTTACGGTAGAACAGTGTAACGAGGACCAATACGCGCATCCTCGCTCCCTACGCAGCCTGATAAAAATTGGTCAGTCATTCGCCTACTGACCATAGACAATGATGCTTGACTTTAGTGTTCTTTTGGGAACCGTGTCATTACGATCAGTTCATAGCTAATTATGTGTATAGAATAAAATTTCACAATAATAATTACTTTGACCCATTTACACAGTAATTCAAATATTAATATGCACTTTGTTATTTTTCTTCTAAAAATAATTAAAAATACAAAAAACTATTAAAAGAAGATAAAATGATCGTTGTTAAAAAGTAGTAAACTTGACAGTAAAGTAGTAAATTTCCTTTATAATTTTCACACGTGTGCTATTTTTTTGTTTTAGGGATGTTTTGTAGATCTATTCAACAAAGTTCACGCTGAAGAAAAATGCTGACGTCTCAAATACTAACATCGAACTAAGATGTTGCTGAGTTATGTAAACCTTGGCCTTCATCAGTTCTACTATTAAAATGCAACTATTTACTTTCGATCTGTATTTACTTACAACTATTTACTTTCGGGAAAAAAATACAATATCAATAAATTTAAGCAACAAATACTTCAGTTTTATGTAAATTTAAGATTCTCCTATAAAGTGCGTTTGCTTAAGAATAACGAACTAAGGCAAAGTAACGAAGAACACTGCAAAAAATGGAAATGATAATGTATTAACAATTTCACAAAGTCAATTTAATAACTTCATTAATTTTATACAATATTCAATGTATTCATTTTTTAACGTATCGTTAGGTATATAATTTAATAATCCCACTTACCTACAGTGTTTAAAAGATTTTGTTTAATAAACCAAACAATAGAATTGATTCAGTTATAAAATTTATGCATTGTGATAAAAAGTAATTAGTCATTTACAACCACGATTATAATATAAACAAGATCACTCGAAATTATGATTTCCTAATGTAATAGAATATTATGATTACTTGCATTCATGATTACTTGCATTCTTGATTACTAATTAGACGAGGATAGAACTACTCGTCGATTATTACTTGATTAGAAACTTCCTTCGCTACAGAAATAAACAAATATGAAATGACATTTGACATAATTCAAGAGCTTCAAAAATAGGCTTCCACTTTCAAGACATGTCGACAGTTATTTCTTATTTGTTTTTTTCCGACATTACTTTTTGTTTTTATTTCAAATCATTTTTTTTTCTTTACTTTCACGTCTGGCAAGTCTTGAAAACGGGTGCCTATCTTTAAAGCGCTTGAAACATGTCGACTGTGATGTCATATTTGTTTAATTCTGAAGCAAATGAAGTTTTCAAGAAGGTAATATTTTATCGTTTTAGACTCTAGGGATTATTTATTTAATACTAATTTTTATTTATTTATTAATTTTTTATTATAATAATTTTATTATACTCGTCATTTAGTTGACTCGTTTGATTATGATTAAACGTAATCATGATTACTTGTGCTCGTATGGTATGCTTAGATGCAATAGTGGTTACACGATGATAATGAATGTAATCATGATAGTCACTATTAAATCTAATCATAGATTTTTTATTCGCAGTTTTTTTCTCGTGGTGATTACAAATAATCATAACCTCTCGTAAGGAGAATATTAAGATTTCTTTTTTTTCGCAATAAACTTGAACCATATAAAAAATGGTCAAATGAATCAAAAATTTTGTGGATATCAATATAAATTTGTTAACACCAATATGATATCACATTGAAAATGCTGATATTTGTTGAAATCAATACTGATGTCAACACTACAATGATGACTCCACCATTGATATCAGCACTTGTCAATACAACAGTAATGACATCAGAGTTGAGATCAACACTTTTGTCAACTTGCTAACTTAGATGTCAATATGCTACTATTGAGATCAACAAATCATAATCACACCAACACTGAGTTCATATAAACTAAAATGAGAATAACATTGAAGTTTTGGCGGCTATGCAGATGCCCAATAGCTTATAATTTTTACTGTGATATACCCCTAAAAATTAAGATATACACAATTACAATAATAACTGTTTAAAAAAAATTAAATTTTCTAATTTTAAAAACTGACAATCTAAATTTCCCTAATGAAAAAATTAAAATTTTCGTTACTTTAATAAAAATATTTAAAACTGAAACACAAATTTATGTTATTTTATGCATTTTGACAAAAATATACTTTATATATTTCATCCGAAAATGACTTTCACGTCAAAAAAAAATATTTACTCTAAACTATATTTACAATGAAAGGATATAAAATTTTATATATATA